GACCCCCTGACGCTGCCTGAGGACGAGCTGCCTCCTGGGTTCTCTGACTCACAACATCCTAGCCCCTTAGCAAACAGCTTCTTTGTTTCATTGTCCTATCTCATTCTGATGGTCTGAAAACCTCTTTCGCCAGCTTTATTTCAGAATCTAGTTTCCCCAAGTGTCCCCTTCCTTGTGCCCAGCCCTCTGAGGAGGTGGAGCCACCTGAGCCCTGAGCCTGGCTGATGGGAGCTGGAGCAGCAGCATGTGTGGCTCCAGGCCTGGGCCCGAGTGCTCGGCATGAAAAAAGCCAAAAGCGGGGGTGGGGGTGGGGTGGTGTCCCCTGGGACCACTGGCCCTTCTACACCAGGCAGGCAGAAAGACACTGGGACAAGGCCAGCCAAGGTCGCAGGACCACCCAGCTGATCCCAGGTGGCCACAATCATAAATGTTTTCTGTCTTAAGCCACTAAGTTTGGGAGAGCTGGGAAGGAGCCAGTGACAGTCACCTGACTCCTGGTAAACCCTCATAGCCCTAAGTGCCACCAGGGTAGCTGAAGAAAAACAATGCTCTCCATGAGCAGTGCCTGACACTTCCGATGACTGGGTGCTGCAAACAGGATGGCTTTCCAGAATCCTAATCCAACCACAGCTGACAGCAGCAAACCCCCATGTCCACCAGCCCATCTGCCCTCACCCTGCTGGACTTGGGGCCAGACAAGCAGCAAGACAGTGGCTGGGCACCTGAGAGCAGGGAGTTGGGCAGAAGGAGGCCGGGCCCGTGCCCGCTGTGCACCCTACAGCTGTGTGGGGCCAGTGTCAGCTCTAGGTGAGGCCGGGCTGCACAGCATGTGCTTTTCCTGAGAGACAGGTTCCCTGTGGCCCTTGGGACAGGGGAGATGGTGACTCACCAGGTCCAGGCTCCCTGAAGAGGATACAGATCCCTGGGACTCTCGGCGGCATGGGCCTCCATTGGCGTTGTGGGAGTCTTGACAGGGGAGACACAGTGACTCAGATGAATTGGAAGTGGCAGCTTCACTTGTCCTCACTTGAAACAGAATCCCATCTGTTTGGTCCCACCTCCCAGCCCTGCCCCCATCAGACCATAAAGACAGAGACCACAAGCCCCGTGGAGATATGATGCGCCTTCCCAACCTCGGGGTTGGCAGGTGCACCCCACCGAAGAGGTGTCAGTCTCTGCCCTGTCCACTGCCACATCCTGGCTCCAAAACCTGTGGTCAGCCTGTGGCAGGTGCCCCCAGACTAGCACACACAAAGGCACATGCCAGCCAGGCCTGACCTTCCTCGTCCAACCTGGAATTTCTACTGCAAACTGCAGGTTCTGGGACTAAATGAGAACCCATGCCTGTGGACAGCAGCAGACAAGCCCAGTGATTGAGGGGTCTTTATCAACGACCCATTCAGGGCCCTCTCCTTTGAAAGTCTCAAGTGAGCTAACAATTGCCTACTCTCGCTAACTTAAACTAACTCTATAATCCTATGCTAATTTAAAAATCATGACAATTCTTACAGAAAGGACTTTTGAAAACAGGACCTACTCTCAAATCATGAAATCTGTGCACAGTCTCTGGGGGCTGTCAGGCCATGGTGAGACTGACCAGTGCCTCCAGACACTACTGCCCTCCCCAGTCACCACCCACCTCCTAAAATATTTCCAGGTTTCACCCTGGGCCAAAATCAAAACTTTTGAATTCTGGGGCATTCCCTGCACTCAGGGTTGTAAAAGCCTTCCAGAGGGCTCCCTGAAGCTCTGTGGCCTGCCTGTGACAAGGCTCAGTTCTCAGGACAGACCCTCGGCCAGCACTCCCCCCTCCTGGATGCTCAGCAGGCCCAGCCACACCCCGCAGCAATGTCTGCCCCGGCAGCCCCTCATTGGAGGTGGATTCTACAGCTCCCAGCTGCCTTTGCTTTGAAAAGAACAGTCTACAACACAGCTGGGAGCTTAGGCGCTGCCCCAGGCCCACACCTCCTGTGGACATTGGCCTGAGGGGGCGGGCCCCTCACTCACCTCCTGCAGGTGCACCTCTTGTGCTCACTAGGTCATGGTCACTGCTGACTTCAACCTGGGCCCCTCACCCACCTCCTGTGCTCACTAGGTCATGGTCACTGCTGACTTCAACCTGGGCACCATAGGCTTAGTACTAGCCCCTTGCCTTTAGGTGGGACACACATTACTGAAAATAATCCCTTTCTCAAGAGTCTCTAGAGAAGAAGTCCTTCCCAGCTCTCTCATGTGCTCCCCTGTACCCACATAGAATGACCTCCACTTCCTCTGCCCTAAAGGTGGGGTGATCCACCCTCTTGACCCCCAGTCCTCTGCCAGCACCCATCAGGCTGGCAGCACTCAGCCAGCAGCTGGCCAGGGTCCTGAGGCCCGTTCTCAGCACCACAGGAGCCTCTCTCTCTCACACTATGCATGTCACAGAGAATCTCAGTCACATACAATAAAAACACCAAGGGGGAAATATCCTGAATGGGAACTTTTTTTTTTTTTTTTGACAGAGCCTCACTCTGTTACCTTGAATAGAGTTAGAGTGCGGTGGCATCATAGCTCATGGCAACCTCAAACTCTTGAGCTTGAGCAATCCTCCTACCTCAGCCTCCCCAGCAGCCAGGACTATAGGGGCCCACCACCACACCTGGCTTTTTTTTCTCTCTCTTTTTTTTTTTTTTTAAAGAGACAGGCTTTTGATCTTGCTCAGGCTGGTCTCCAACTCCTATATTCAAGGGACCCACCTGCCTTGGCCTCCCAGAGGGCTGGGATTACAGGTGTGAGCCACTAGGCCCAGCCTTAAATGGGAAAACTTCAAGATTTACAATAATTAAGAAAAGTTTAGGGGGCAGCACCTGTGGCTCAAAGGAGTAAGGCGCCAGCCTCATATGTCAGAGGTGGCGGGTTCAAACCCAGCCTCAGCCAAAAACTGCAAAAAAAAAGAAAAGTTTAGGAAGTGTTTGGTACCCAAACTCTGGTGTTATTTAAAAAAAAAAAAAATGCCTAAGGCACAAGAACACCTGAAGAAGCCAAGAAAAAGCCTGGGGCCTCTGGGTGAACAACAAAATAGCACATTTATACTTTCTCTCTGTGTTTGATTGTATTTTCCAAATTTTCTGCCCCAAACACCTATTACTTTATAGCAAGATGACAGCCAGTGAGGGCAACTATCATCTGGCCCCTCACAGTGGGTTGGGGTCTGGTTCCCTCAGAAGCTCCGTCTCCTGCACATGGGGCACAACCCCCCAAGGACAGCAGCCTGTGATGGGGGAGGGGATGGGGCTGACCCAGCCTGGACAGCATAGCCCACATAGGCCAACACCACAGACCGTTTGCAAGGTCACCATGCTCCTTCTTCTTCTGGGACCTCCCGGTGCTCCGAGTCCTCGACCAGGAGAAGAAGGCACCTCTCCGCCTCCTCTCACTGTCCTCCTCCCCCAGCTCCTCGTTCAGGGATCTTCCTGACTTTGACTTTCCACTTAGCTGCAGCAAACGGAAACCTTGGTTAGAATAAGTTATGATGACAGTGTATCCAGGGAACTGAGCAGCGAGCTGTCCTAGAGCACTCTTGGACAACATCCAGCCAGCAGAAACATCCTGCACCACATCCCAGCCCAAGGCCAGCCTGGATGTCCCTGTCTCTCACCTGGTGCTGGTGAAAGGACACGTGGACACTGGCCTCTGTCCCCCTCCCTCAGTGTTCTCCACTGATGAAACATGCCCCACAGTGGCCTGAGGCCAGGCCCAGGGAAGGGCACCTTTTTTGGCGTGGACACGCTGGAGTGGTCCGAGCTGAGGCTGTGCTTGGATGCGGGGCTGCTGGGGGCCTGCTGCGAGTCCGGGAGGGCACGGCCTTCCACCTCTGCCAAGATGCACTCCTGATACAACGGAGACTTCAGGAAGCGCGTGTAGCTGTCGAACTTCATCAGGTTGAAAATCTGGGGAATGGAGCAACACAACACGGGTGCACAGCCTGAAGAGACAAGGCTGTCGGGGACCCACAGCCCGTCCTAGAAGGACCGCACAGCAGCCCATTTCTGCCTGCTGCCTGGAGCTCGTCTGAGTTCCTTTCCAGCATCCCTTCACCAGACCAATACAAACCAGCCTCTAACTGATCACTCTCAAAGTCAGCAAAGAGAAACAACTTCTATCAGACTGTCTTAAGAATGAAACCAAAATCAAGTGGAAATCTGACGGGGTGAGAGCTGCCCTGACAATGCCGTCTTCCACGTTTTCTAAAAACACTGCTCTCGTGAGTCAGCCACAAGGTAAGCTCTGAGGCCAGCGAGCAGGGCTCTGTGTAGCAATGGGTTACTTATTTCCTATCACAGTGATGTCCTAACATTTGTTTATTTATTTTTATTATTTTTGAGACAGAGTTTCATTATGTCGCCCTTGGTAGAGTGCCGTAGCGTCACAGCTCACAGCAGCCTCCAGCTCTTGGGCTTAGGTGATTCTGTTGCCTCGGCCTCCCAAGTAGCTGGGACTACAGCACAGCCACAATGTCCGGCTATTTTTCTGTTGCAGTTGTTTAGCTGGCCCGGGCCAAGTTTGAACCTGCCACCCTCAGTGTATGGGGGTGGCATTGTAATCACTGTAGTACAGGCACCGAGCTGATGTCCTAAGATTTAAAACAATTCAAGCACACACACACTCATGTTGTCACGAGTGTATGACCTCGTGCACACACACTGTCACCTGCAGAGTGGCAGGAGCAGGGGAGTACCTCCTGCCTCCAGCCTTGCAGATCCCTGACGCTCCATCTGCTCCCCTGAGACAATCCCACTGCTGTCTGGGAGCATGGTCTAAACAGTGGGTCCTGCTGCCCGGCTCTGCCTAGAACCCCTCAGATACCAAGACATGGGGATACCTGCAGCTGCTGCTCCTTGAACATGTCCGGGTGAGGTGCATTGAGAATGTCGTCTGCCAGCTGCGCCTGGCTGTCAATGTTGACAGGGGTGGTGGCTTTGCTGCACAGAAACTTACTGAAAATCTCCCGGGCCCTGTAGGAAAGCTGACAGGGGAACACAGCTGAGTAGGCGTGGGTGGCAGGCCTCCCCACAAGTGCGTTTCTGTGTGTGAGGGCCTGAGCCAGCTCTGGATAGGGGTGGCGCAATTCCACAGGCTCATTAACACTACTTGGAATAGTGAGACCCCACAGGCCCTTCAAAAGCCAGGGTAAAGCCTGCAGGTGGGCCACCCCTGTACTCCTAATTGAGAAGAAAGGAGTGTGAAGGTGCCCAGTCATGTCCACGTGAGTATCCCTGCGGGGAAATCAGCAGCGCAGGCAGCTGAGACCAGCACCTAGGAGTTCAGGCCAGAGAAGCTGAGGCATCTGTCTGAGGAGATGAGGCTTGCTCCCCCGCCCTTTCTCGTTGCACTGTTATCTGGTCTCTTCAGATGTTCCACTACTCTATGTCCCCGTTTATCCTTCACCCAACCTTCTATAATATGATCTCCCCTCTCTTTCTTAACCTTGACCTCTGACTGTTATGCACCCTATAAAAAGACTCCAGGACACAGGACAGGGCTGCACTGTTCTCATGCTTCCCCCAGGCCCGTGGACACCATATGCCCTCACAGGCTTCAAGTTTTATGCACTAAGTTTGGGGCGTATAAATTCCATTCCTTCCTTAGTGCTGTCTCCCTTTCTGGCCACTGTCCCAGGCTGCAGTCCACTAGACACCCAACAATTTCTTGCTTGATAAATAAATGTAAGTACAAGCCAGTAAGCAACTTTACTGAACTGGCTCCTCTATAGTTTTTTAATTGGATACTTTAACCAAGGACTACCCCCAGGAGTGCCAGGACACACCGCGGCATTTCTGCATGGCAGTCCCCACCCCGTAAAGCATGAGTGCAGGAGGGCAAAGCCCAAGGGTGCTGAGAGGCCTCAGCTGTGAGTGTGGCTGTCCACTGGGGAGCAGGGAACGAGGGTCACTGGCTGTACCGGGCAAACCGCCATGTGTCCCTCCAGGCTCACCCGTCTGGCCGCGTGAGTGTCCTTAGGACACTCTTCTGCTTGGGTGTTATGTAGGATCCCCTTTAACACACACTCCTCCCTCTGAGTTCCAACACACTGACGGGCAGCACGCTGCTGGTGAACGCTGCGTGGCTGAGGCATTTACACCACCACTATGTTTAGGCAAAATTAAATATCATGTATATTTAAAAATTTATTCTGAAAAAGAATTGACATTTTCAAACCATGTGAAAATATTTTTACACCAACTTTTCAAACTGGGCTAGATGTTAATCATATGCTAAACTGACCTATCGTGGAACCATCTGCTCTTTAATAATCTAGGCATGAAGAAATTTACCTCTTTTTTATCATGTGCAGGAACATGGTTGAAATATTCACAGGCCTGCCAGAATAAAATGTTTTCTTCACTGAATTCTTTCCTTAGAAAATCCTAAGAAAAACACCATCAATTAACACTGACACACAGATCAATGAAAGTGGGCACTTACCCTAGGGGGCCTGTCCTCTGCGTGAGCTCTGATTTTATTTCTTCATTCCTACTTTTTTCTTTTTCTATTGCCCTCGATAGAGTGCCGTGGCGTCACACAGCTCACAGCAACCTCCAACTCCTGGGCTTAGGAGATTCTCTTGCCTCAGCCTCCCGAGTAGCTGGGACCACAGGTGCCCACCACAATACCTGGCTATTTTTGTTGTTGTTAAAGTTTGGCTGGTGCCAGGTTCGAACCTGCCACCCTCGGTATATGGGGCCTGCGCCCTACTCACTGAGCCACAGGTGCCGCCCCTACTTTTTTCTTATTTTTACCTTCTACATGATCTTTCAAGCTCCTCTCATCAGTGAATTACCCAAGGGCCTTCAAAGATAACCCTAAAAGCTGCCCACACTGTGGGGACGACCTCCTTGGTGTTCATAGCCATTTCCTCAGAGCTGCACCTTTCTCTCTAACACCTGCAGAGATTATCTCTGGCAAACAGAGAAGAGCCAAGGGGGTTTTCCCCTGGGGGACGGGCCAGCCCAGGCTCCCTGCACCCACCCTCGCTGAGCCCTGAGGGATGGAGGAGACACCCGACAGGCTGCTCAGGGGCTGAGGGGAACCTGCAGGTGCTGCTATCTTTAGGGTGGGCAACCCATCACACTCAGGCTGCCTCAGAGTACAGACCACCCCACCAGCCTCACGGCTCTCCCCACTCACAGAGAAGTAGTGGACACCCAGGGGGTCCTGCAGCAGACGCTCAAATGACACTGCCCAACTGGCGACCCTCCTCTCACGCAGGCGCCGGCAGCTCTGCACGCTGGGGAGGCTGGCATTGCTGCTCAGGCTGTTGCTGCTCACACAGTCCTTCAGGTCTGCACCCGTCAGCTCTGCGGGACCAGCATAGACGGCACCTGCACCCCCATGCTCCGGCCACCACCAAACTTTGTGCTCTGGGGCACTGGCCGCACACACACAGTGGACCTGTAGCCACCAGTGCCTTCCTGACACAGGGCCAGCGGCAAACACCACACAGACCCCACACACGTGTTCACATACACGCTCACACAACACTCCCACGCTCACAAAGGTACGCACTTACTTGAGAGTAACAAACAACAGCCATGGGATCCATAGGAAAGGAATCGACTTTACACAGACACTCCACACACAATGGTAAGGACCAGCCATCCACTGGTCCACACTCAGCAGGACTCATTTTACATCAAGCAGCACAGTGAAAGCCGCTGGGTGTGGCCTCTGTGTGACTCCCTTCGCTGCAAGTCCCAGCAAGTGCCCCCAGGAACCAGTGTGCAGAGCCATGGGGCAGGTCGCATCTTCTCAAGAGGGGCCCATGGCCTCATGACTTGTGCCTGTCTCTCCACTTCTCAATAGAGTGGCCAGGGCTTAGTGCCTGTAGCTGAGTGGTTAAGGTGCTGGCCACATACACTGGGAGTGGCAGGTTCAAACTGGCCCGAGCCTGCTAAAAAATAATAACGACGACAACAACAACAACAACAATAGCCAGGTGTTGTGGTGGGCGCCTATAGTCCCAGCTACTTGGGAGTCTGAGGCAAGAGAATCGTTTGGGCCCAAGAGTTTGAGGTTGCTGTGAGATGTGATGCCAGGGCACACTACTGAGGGAGATAGTGAGACTGTCTCAAAAAAAAAAAATTTGAGTGTACAGGCATGATGTCCACACTTGAGCTTTTAGCCACAGTGTCAACGCCACAACTCCTGAGTGGTCCCTATGGAAAGCCAGTTCCTGAGCTGCCCACTAATTAGCCTCTGCTTCCCAGTATCTGCTAAGGAAACTCTTAAATAAAGGAGAGGCACCTGGGAAACCCCATTTGTCATCCTTGTCCTGATGTGACCAGTGTTGTGGGGCCCCTGCACCCAGGCGGGCGACCTGGCCACTGAGCCTCAGGGGAAGCATGGCAAGTTCATGCAGATACAGCTCTCCGATGCGGCCCCAGTGTCCCACAAAGGGCTGTCCTAGAATGAAGGCCACCGGGTGCCCTGCTGACCGCAGGTGATCACTGACCATGCTGTCAGGAGGCCATGTCTCCAGGCAGCAAAGCCAACTGACAGTGACAGCACTGTAAGTTTTCACCCGTCTAACACTGTATCCACCTGCCCCGGTACCAAGCACGTGCCCTGCTGTCCTGTGTGGGGCTGAGCCACCCAGCTGGTCATGCTGAGAGGTCAAGGCCACAGGTAACTGCTGCAGGCCAGGACGATCACTCAGACACATCTCCTCATCACGGAGGAGCAGAGACAGAACAAGATCAGCACAGGGGCTGGGGAAGCAGCATTGACCACTGCCCTAAGCTGGAGGCCATGCCGCACTCAGCAGTGAGAGCTGGTCCACAGTCGTGTGGCCTCAGTGGGCAGAGGGCTTCCAAGGAGGCCAGGAGGCAAAGCTGGGATCTGACCCCAGAGCCTGTGTCACCTGCAGTATAGCAACTGAAGGCTACAGTGGCACGGACCAAAGCTCAGAAGCATTTAGATCAAACAAAGAAATGAAAGAGTAATCAAATCATTTAAATTGCTGTAGAAAAAAATTAAGACTCAAAAGGAATTATGATAGGATTGGAAAAGCATAATTTTAATGTTTCTTTGAATCCACCAAGCTGTGTACATGCTTTTTTTGAGATGAAATACTCAGGTCATGGGGGCACTAGCACCCACTGGGGTCTGGGGCGTGCACATGGAAGCTCTGACTCAGAGCACTGGGGAAGAGACAGCGCTCACCACATGCCCCAGGCCACACACCACAGCAGGACAGCCACGTCCCAGGGCCGCTCAAGGACAGCAGAGCAAGGACAAGGCAAGCCTTCCTCTGAACTCAGCAGCTCTGTCCTCAGGTCAACAGAATGGTTTAGAAACGCCTTGCTTAAAGAATGCCACACACGGGTCCCTCACGGGAAGTGCTCCATCTTGCTCGTTTGACATGCACACCCCCATGCCCCATGCTCATGCCCCCAGGCCACCAGCATCACACCTCCACCCCACACACCCAAGCTCACACCCATCCTCTCCGCTCTCCAGGGCAGGGGCCCTTAGGCTTAATTTGCATCCAGCAACTAGACTCCAAGGGGCAATCACAGGCAGCTCTCCCTAAATGAGTTCACCTAGGACCTTTCCCAACAGGTTTTATTAGAACTGGACAAGCTGAGTGGAAGAGTTCATGTGGAAAATGTTGGAAAAACAAAACAAAAAGAGTAACAGGGTGGGTCTCCCCTCAGCAGAGCACACCCCCTAGAACCCATGGGGGCCCCCAAACAGACACATCACATCACTGGGACTGAACACAGCACCTGGAAATGGGCCCCAAATGGCGCATTCATGAGTAAGATGGGGGGGGGCAGACTGCATCCAATGTGACCCGGTCGGCCTTCCTTCCAGCACACGCTAACATAAACCCAGAATGGACAGAAGATTGAAATGTAAAACAAAATTAGAGAAATACTCGAGGAAAACATGGGATAAGTTTTTGAAGTATCTGAGTGAGGAAAAGCTGCTGGAAGGAGACGCAGGCCCAGAGCCACAAGAACAGCACCAGTAACACACAGAGACCTGGAACCATGCCCGTAAATCCCGCCACTCGCTAAGTCCAAGGGCAACAGACTGTGGGAAATACATGTCCCACACCCCAGAGGTGAAGGGCCGGCTCTCCTGCTGTGCAAGAGTACCTATGGGTGGATAAGAAGGATAAGAAGAAGGTCAAGGAGCACAGGGAAGGTCGAGGAACAGAGGGAGATGGGGAGTGGGGACAGCGGGGCAGAGAGTACTGAGAACCTGGGCTGCTTAGCAGTCACCTCCCTGGCTAAGGTCATAGCACCATGAGGTCTGAGCAGAGGCACCTCAGTGCTGCTGGAGAGTGAAACTGACCGACCATCATGGTGACATTCATCGAAATGCAAAATATAAATGCCTGGTGCTCTGGCAGCCCAACTCCAGCTCTTCATGTTGGAAGGCACTTGTGTAAAAGCCAGCGTGGATGCCACCACCAGGGACCTGTGTGAAGGGGTGCTGGCATCAGAAGCAGGGCTCAGCAACATCCGGTCCCTCTGAACTCCAGCCCTTATTTACAAACAAAGTCATGTGAAAACCACGTGGCCAGACTCAGGCGGTATCCAGGCTGGGAGCAGGTGACTGGAAGGGGTGTGGCTGGCTCAGGTTGCCTGTGTGAAGTGAGGGTAAAGGGGTCACCATCCTCACCGCATTCTATTCTAATAAACAAGGTTATTATCATAAAATGGAATATCTGCACCTGAGGACCATAAAGTTTTTCCTCCAGATTTTTCCCCTGAGGTAATAAAGGCCTTAAACAAAACTGAGGGATAAAGAGAAGTTAACCAACCTCAGGAGGAAGGAAGAGCTTCCACGGCACAGGGCACAGGCCTGTGCAAAGGCCCCGTGGAGGAGAAACACAGCACACACTAGTCTTTCTGGCTGGGCTGTGTGGACCTGACCCGGCACAGGAGGAGGCCCAGGTGAGGGTGCCGGCAGCTGGACAGAGGCAGGGCAGGCAGAGAAGGAGGATGACGCACCTCCTAGTTCAGCCCTGCAAAGGTGCCGAAACTCCTGTTTCTCTAATAAAATGTGTCGGAGCCCAACAACACAAGCACAGTGCTGAGAAGCCTCCACCTGCCTCACCCCAGAGCACACAGGCTGCTGGGCCTCTTGTGGGACACACAGACCACCCTGTGCCCAGTAGTTCCCCGGGCTCCCTCCTCCCTCCACTCCCAGGCCAGCTGACCGTGGGGCTACTGCTTTGCTCCTCCAGCACTGGCTGTGGGAGGTGCCATGTATTTTTGGAAGGAAAGCAGACTGCACATAAATGCTGGTGAAGGAGGACCAGTAATTGACCAATCTCACTATTACAAGGCTTGGTGAGTACTAATTATTTCTAAGACTCACACATTAACAATTGACGTTTTAACATTTTAGAAAAAGCAAGCAGTGACCCGCCTGCTGTGTCAACTGAGAGTCCTCCTCCAGCCCTGGGGTCCCACAGATGTGGAGGCCGTGTCAGAGAGATGCAGACTAGTGCCAGTGGCAAGGGTGGCAGCAGAGGATGCAGGAGGCCTCGGGCTGGGACTGTGCACAGCTGGCCTGCTCGTGGGCTCTGCCCAGGCTCAGAGTCCACTCAGGCAAGATGCCCAGGAAACGGAAAGGGTCACTTCAGCTGGGTCTCAAGACAGCAGAGTTCCTGGGTCCCTCGCTCTCTTTGGAGCCAGTGGCTGGGGAAGAACGGTCCTCTAGGGGCTCCAGCCTCCTTTAGAGGACACACACGAGACCAACCCCTGTCTATGCAGCTTTGTTTCTGACTTAAAGGACCCAAGTAGCTGCCCCAACCACTGTCCTCTGATGGCGTCAGGCCATGAGGATGGGGCCTAACTCCACCACAAGCCACAGGGGGTGAAGGAAGAGGACAGCCTGGAGGAGAAGCAGAGAGAAGGCTCTGGCCATGGCCCTAGGCCCATGCTACTCCTGCCCATAGGTCAGGCGGCAAACTATGCCCCTTGATTTCCCAAGGGTACAGATGGGACATGGCTGGCACACGTGCTTTCTGGAGTCCACGTCCTCAACCCACTTCATTCTGAGACAGTCACATCTCCAGGAAACCATGCACTCTTCAAAGTGGGAAAATGAGGGACAACTGTCGGCTACATAAGAAATGTCACTACAGAATTATTTTAATCACAGGCTCTCCAGGAGAATTTTTGGACAAAGTATGTGCACACAACTTGCAGAAGAGTAAAGAAAGCAGAGGCCCTGCAAGGGGGCTAGGCCAGGAGGGTCAAGGGTCCCCACGGTTCAGCACAGCTCAGCCCCCCTTGAGTACTTCTCTGGTTGTGAATTGTGATCATACCTAACATGC